GATCAGTCGGCTCCCGTCTCCTTGAGTCGGTCAAAAATGCTCCGAACACACCAAACGACGCAACTGGAGAGTACGTTCTGCGCGTGCGTGAGGCGTAATACGTCCCCATAACAGCAGGCGCGCTATCTGTGTTGTCGCAAAAAATGAAACCGGAAATGACGGATCACTGTAGACTAGTAAACAAGAGCACGCTGTCGTCAGTCATTGTTTTCATCAGAGAGTGTTGATGTATCAAAAGGATCGTTATTGTCGTTACTCGCTGAACGGAAAATACGATGGCTAATAATAAAAGATACTGGCGTTGGCGTAGTATGTTTACCATCGTCACTTCGGTTTTTCCGTGCACTCACTGATTCTAGTCAAGGGCGCACTGCTTTTCTGCCGACGGTCAGCCGTCGGGTTGGTGTGCGGAGGCCTTTATATGAATGAAATGGACACTACACTTGTGCCCTGTATCTACAGCACTGAGCACTGCCCTGTATCCGTCCTGCCCTCTGTAACTTGGTATAATTGCCAAAGTAAAATCTTTATTAACTTTCTCTGAAAGACAATTGGTGTTAAAATGTGTTTTAATTTAGATTTGTGATGTAATTCACAAGAGCTCTGAGGTGTTGAGTCGCTGCCCGCCAGGTCTCGGTACAAGCAAACCTGTAAAACCTGAGACTAGTTTCAAAGCAAATCTGACCGTAAAATAACGTCACCTGTGGGACAAGAGAGACACAAAGTCCGTATTGAGCAGGTGATAATGGTCAGAAATGTACCAATAGCAGGATTAGGAGAACAGGACTCTAGAGCGGAGTTTGATACTGCGTGCTCCCTCCTGATTGGTCTGTGAGTTCAAAGATCTGTCTCTGAGGTGGAGCCTTGAAGGGCATTAATCAATAGCAAAGCCCATCAGAGGGTTTTGCACATAAACATAGAACTGACGTTGCATCCAAAATGATGTCATAAGTGTGGCTGATATTGGCGTCTGTTTGACCTCTGACCTCTAACCTCTCCCTGTGTCTTTCAGGTGCTGTTTGCCTCCGTCATGGAGACTCTGGGGAATGAGGCTCTGGGGAAGATTATGAACATCGTGGATGAAGCCAAACTGCTGGTGGAGCTGGAGTCCGGGAGGGGCGGCAAGAGACCGCAGACCAGCGTCCTCAACATCCTCAACAACGCACGTGTCGGTACGTACGCAGGCCCCGCCCCCAACAGTCAAACACTCCTATCAGGAAAGCAACCACACGATGATGTCATACTAATGTGAAGCGTGATTTGTCCGTCACAGAAGTGGAACACTCGTATGGAGTCCGACTTGAGAGCTGCGACACACACAGATCCACTCAGGTAAGACCCTGCTCACCTGTTCACCAGTGATGCGTTCCCTGACCTGATTGTGACGTCTGTACTTTGTGTCACCGCAGACCAAACCAGAGAAACCAGAGCAACCAGAGGCTTGTGACAATCCATTTGTCCTGGCGGTCACCGTTAAAGACGAACACGGCAACGTGGACCTGGGAGCCATCGCTGAGAGTGAATACCTGATCAATATCCGATCAATATCTTTCATATTTGTTTTCAAATTTTTGTTTAATCACAGTTTTTTCCTCCAGGAGCTCGAGTTGAAGCTGCTCAGCCGGTGACCTCTGACCTCCAGCAGCAGCAGAACGGTTCTAGCGATCCAGAGTTTGTGCTGCAGAGAGTCACGTGGAAATACTTAATGTGCACGACTTGTGGTAAATCCTTCACGTCTCAGAGCAACCTGAAGTCTCATTACCGCGTACACACGGGCGAGAGGCCGTTCTCTTGCAGCATCTGTGGCCGGGCGTTCCGTCAGAGGCAGAGTCTGCAGAGTCACACGAGGACGCACACCGGCGAGCGGCCCTACGAGTGTCCGCAGTGCGGGAAGTGTTTCTCCAAGCAGACGCAGCTCAAGACGCACTCAATCATCCACACCGGAGAGAAGCCGTATGGCTGCGAGGTCNNGGCCGCCGCTTCAACCTGATGCAGAACCTGCACCGCCACGCCCACACCCACACCGGCAAGAAGTTCTTTGTCTGCGGCGTCTGTGGGAAAGGCTTCACCCGCGCCGTCACGCTGAAAACGCACGAGCTCATCCACACGGGACAGAAACCCTTCAAATGTGAGGAGTGCCCCAAAACCTTCCGCCACGCCAACAACCTCAAGAATCACCAGAGGATCCACAGCGGCGTGCGGCCGTTCAGCTGCGATCTCTGCGGGAAGACCTTCCGCCAGGCGGTGAACCTGAAGATCCATCGGAGGATTCACACCGGCGAGCGTCCGTTCAGCTGCCAGGAGTGCGGGAAGACGTTCAGCCAGCAGAGCAGCCTGATCTCACACGGCCGCACGCACTCGAAGGAGCGCCCGTTCGCCTGCAGCAACTGCGACAAGAAGTTCAACAACGGCAACAGCCTGAAGCTGCACCTGCGCATCCACACCGGAGAGAAACCGTACACCTGCGACATCTGCGGCAAGACCTTCAGCCAGGGCAGTCACCTGAGGACGCACAAGAGGCACGTCCACGCCGGCGGCAAACAGTACATCTGCGATAAGTGTGGGAAGAGATACGCAGACCAACGCAACCTTAAGCTGCACAAGTGTGGCTACGCGTGAATGTGACCACAATAAATCCGTCCCTCCAGGAAGTTAAACAGCAACAAATTCAAACCAACTGAATTTGGTGATTGTTGTTTTGCCCAACCACAAATTCTACCAAACAAAGACAATCTGAAGTCAACATGCATCGCATTGTTTTTGAAAGCTGCTGTGGAATCAGATATTCTGAAGGGACGGTTTAAATTTACAGCTAAATGGAGTTTGGAGAATATAAAACTTGAATATTATGGATTAATTTTGTTAAGATGTTTAATATGAATACTTGAATTGTTGACAGGGATTGTGGGTGTCAGACAGGAAGTGGACCTGTTTTAACCAATCAGAGCTAATATGTGTTGAAGTGGGCGGAGCCTCTGTTTAAACACTACAGTACCCATGAACCTCGGTGTCCATTGCCGGGAAAACGACACCATCTAAAGCTGTGACATCATATTTTAATTGGTTAAGATAACTTCTGTCGCCTGGCAACAGAGTCTGGAGCTCTCTGATTGGACGATTCTCTCTGGGAGTCGTAGAGAGAACATATAAGCCCCGCCCACTGAAATACTGCATTCTGATTGGTTGAATTTAAGTTACGTTATTTCTGTTGCTTGTCTGTAAATGTGTACATACACATTGTTGCTTTTTATAATTTAACAGATGATTTTTTAAATTTGTTTGCTAAATAATAAAATACAAACATCTGTATCACATCTGTATCACATCTGTCCATCCAGCTGCTGCTGAGTCTTAAAGGAACAAAAGTTATTTTACACAAAGTCCATAAACCAACAACCTTTATTGTTTAATTACAATAACAATGTACAAAATATAAGTATAAAAGAGTTTTTAGAATTTATTATGACTAAACTGATGAATAAACATTGTGGCACATCAGTAAAACAGTGAATACAAATATCTAAAGGGGACATTAGAAATCAATACCTTTTTGATTTTTATATATATATATATATATATATATATACATATCAATTCATGTCTTTATTCACTGAACTGAAGCCGATCACTAAGTCTAACGAGGCTAAAATATATATATATATAATACACAGTATAATAATATAATAAAAGTAAAAAGAAATACAGGGTTTATCTTCACAAATGTAAAACTTCCAACCATCAAAGGAAAATAATATAATAATTATAATTATATATATTCTATAATCATTTATTATTTGAGTGAATTATTGACTTTATAATAACATTACTTTATTAAAACTATGTTTTAGTCTCTTTATTATAATCATCCACTAATCCAGCTGACGTCAGGCTGACGTAACCTTCAGTACGTCACCGGACCTCTCAACATGGCGCCTTTCCGCCTCGAGTTCACCTGCGGAGGATGAGAGCGGAGAGAGAACCAGAGAGCGGCCGGACCCAGCGGCCCTCTGCCGGCCTCAGGGCTCCGTGCTCCGGTAGGACGCTCCGGAGGAGGAGGAGCCGCAGCCGGACTCGTTTCTGCCGAGCAGCGCTGACAGAGAACCGGAGAGGTTAGTGACCCACAACCAGACCGGAAACCAGTGGGCTTTCCTTCAAAATAAAACGTGATTTAACAACACGGGAAACAATACGATTACCTTCAAAATAAAACCCGACAGACAATACCTTCAAAATAAAAGTGAAGATGTGTGTTTCCTGGTAGCTTCACACGGAAATGGAAAGAAGTGATGACGAGTCTTTTTCACCGGTGACCACAAACAACGAGTCCTCGCCGTGTAGCCCCTCCTCCTCTGCTGATGTCATCACTCAGGGTCGCACTGTCTGTCCGGGGGCTCAGCGGGTCACATGTTCAGCAGATGGCGAGCAGGTGGCGTGTATGCTCTGCTCCGGGTCAGATGACGGCACGCGAGGACCAATCACACGCAGCTCTGATGTCAGGGAGGCGGGGCTTAGTCTGAGAGATGATGTCACCCCAACAGACAGGATCAGTCCAAATATGGTCACAAACTGTTCGTTGGCGTGCTCAGACACCGAGGGGTCAAAGGTGAACTGCTGTCACAGACTGGAAGGTGATGGTCACTGTGGGGGCGGGGCTACCTCTCAGGTACTGAGCCTCGCCTCAGACTCTGACTCACAGGAAGAGGATTTCTCTGACCCACCAGAGGTCACCTCTGATGATGATGCCTTTATCACAGAGCCGCCGCTGGATGAGCTGAACCTCCCCGCCACCATCACCGCCGCCACCACCA